CCACGCAACGCAACGCGTGGGTATAAATCTAGTAGAAAAAATAAATTTCCACACATATAAACAAGGAATATGTTTTATCAAAAGAAAAAACAAGGAATGCTAAATTTAATCCAAGTAATAACATTGGGATCGAAATATTAATTAAACAGGAAGAGGAGTTACAAAACTCTCTTTCTTCGTACATCATATCATTTTACGGCTTTACTACCTGTTAGAGATATATATAGGTTTGTTTTCAGGTGCTTTCTCTTGTGAGTTGTGACCATTTCTACACTTGTTCGTTTTTTAAACTGTAAGTAACTGAAGTTATAACAGTGTGTGTGTTTGACGTCTTTTTTTCGACTGAGGTTTACGTTTTTATTTTAATTCATACGACGAGCTTTAAGTTTTGGTCGGTGCTTTTTTCCTTTCGTGAGTTTTTGTTAAATATAAAGTAGTCGGTCTTATGATTATTTTCTAGTTGTTACCAAAAAGGTGTCGATTTTTGTAGAAGTTAACAGTATATGAAATGTGTGTTTTTTTTTTTTTGTAAATGAAAAAACAAAAGTTGATACAAATAAAATTTAGATTTAAATTGTGGAGGGTAATACAAACAACAATAAGTCGTGAATGACATTACAGTTAACAATCACATCTAAAGGTGTAACCAATTTGAATTATTTTGTAAAACAAAATAATACTTCATATATGACGTTATTAATACTACAACTAATCACGAGAAATAATTATTTCACAAAGATCCACTCTATAAATCAGCCCATTCGCCTTTCAGTTATTAGATAAGGGATACATGGGCCAGTAGGAAGAAAGAAACGTTTATCGCAGCCCATATACGGCCCAAAATAATTAAATTCAAAACACGATCCGGCCCATTTAAATTTGAAGTGTTTTTGGTCGTTGTTGACTTACTGGACGTGGGACCCACTTCTCGATAAAGGATTCTTTAAACATGTGATTCACGCGGTCCCCACTTTTCCCTGTGTGTTTCTCACACCGCCATATATACCACTCGTGACTCTATTTGCCATAAGTAGATATTATTACTCTTATTTTTCTAATTTTTTTTTTTTTTCTGTTTTCCACTTTTTTTGCATACGAGAATTTCATGAAGCCGTGTAGTAGTTTTTTTTTCATATTTTGATGATAATGTTAATAATCAAAAACTACTCCATATACATTTTCATTTATTGTTTTAAAAGAAAAAAAATAGAGGAAATTGTAGCTGTGTAGGCGCATTTGAAAATAAAAAAAGATCCAAACAAAATTAAATGCATCTCACGTTCTTCTCATTCTGGTCATCTCTCCTCGATCCACGTGAATTTCACGTGCTTTTCACGCCTCTTGCCGACTTTTATAACCATTTGTATATATATAAAAACCTTTGGCTTTTTCTAATTGTATTGATTTTTTATACTATATAAAAACCTAAATATTAGTAATAATTTTAATTGGAAAAGACATTCACATTTAACTCGACAGTTGCTCCGATTGCCTTCTCACGTCTCTTGCATAAACTTACGCAACGCAACCTTGTATATTAAACGTGGGAAAGGAATTGTAGATTTTCTAAAAAAACGTAAAGCTTTTTGCCTTTGCATAATTATTACTAGTGGACCTTTTTGTTTTGTTTTTTAAACTATGAAATTCAGACATACATCCATAATCTTTCATGGTTCGAGATGTGATAAAATATTTTGTTATTGGAAGTATCCATCCCAAACAAAGTATTTGTAACTAATTCTATTGATCATGCCAAAATTTGAAAACATTTATTCAAACAAGTTTTAGTAAAAGAATACAGAAAAACTTCTGATAGTACATCTATTGTGTTTTCTTGGGAACGAAAAAATCATTTACGGTTTAAAACCACATCAAATATTATAAAAAGAACCACAGATATAAAAATGATTTTTTAGGTCAAGCTTTATATTGGATAAATCAATTAACAAAACATTTATAACGTTAAAGCAACAACTATACAACAATAGAGTTACTTATTTAAGCCTACTCACATGGATAGATTTGGTCAAAGTTTCCGATACTTGACTACCGGACTTGACACACTTTGAAAATTTTTTTTTTTAATCGTCTGAATTTATTATTATTCGATTACAAAGTAAGAGAACTTTTCGACGATTCTACAATGAACTAGGAGATCTTCAAGACAAGATATAATCATTTAGCGTGGATAATCACACTTTAAATTTATATGTAAAAAAATTTGAAAAATTAAAAATAAACTATTAATTTTGGGTTTGGTTTCCTTTTTGGTGTATGTAGCGATTTCAAAAACTATAATCTTTACTTCTTTAGTATATGTGCTGTACATAAATAATATAATCAAGTTGTCAGATACTGGTTTAGATCTATACCGTTGAGTTAGATCTGAAACAAATTTAATTAATCAAACCTTACTTGAACATTATTTCAGTTATAGACTAATAAATATTATACAAAACATGACATAATCTATTGTTTACACTTTACACCGTCGTGTATCAGAGACTCGAGACAAAAGACCAAACTGTTGCTCGAACCGACCCGGTTACATTGTAGCTTATGGGTTTTATAAACTTAACTCTGTAGTTGAATAAGTAACCATGGTTAAGTGAAAGTCCTTGTTTATTTTTTGTTTTAATAAAAAAGAGCACGAAYAACATGCGTCGGACTTTCTCTCTCTTCCTCGAATTCATTCAATTGGCCACGGCGACAAAGAGGGAGCGATAGAAGAAACTGAAAATTTTCATTTCATTTCTTTTTTTCTGCACTTTCTGGGATTCTTAGGTTTTTTCTTGTTCATTTCGGGTTCGAGAAGGAAGATTTGATTTTCTGTTTTTGGGTTTGGTCGGAGTAAAAGCTTGTG